CCCCGCCCAAGGGGCTTCCTTTCAGCAGACATGGTCCTGCACAGTTTTGAACATCAATGACTTTAAAAGCCTTTGAACTCCACCAGTATTTGTATTCAGAAATAAACATCTGAGGTTAAAGTTGGTTCCCATGAATATGTAAAGCTGTCACTTAGGAGAATGAAGCCGTATGACTGTGTATAAACCTATTTTGACATCATAGATAGGGATACGATGTGTACCTGCCCACAGAATCAGACATTGTTACAGCTCACTGGAACTGATGGGCTCTGTGATGCTGATGCATAGATTAATCTAACAGGAAAGCATCACCACAATCAGTAGGACATTAGCCAAAGATACAGTGACACTGGAGCTGGCTGCCTTTTCTGAGCAGTTTTTAACAACAAGGATGATATATCTTTTGATTGTCCGTGACCTCTGGAGCTTTCTGGGTGCTGACATCATTTGAATGTCTCATGGCTCCTAATGGAATAGGAGAGATTCAGGGCCTTGTCTGAGGTCACAGTTTCAATGGTCATTGGATGGGGTAGGTATATTTTCTGGCTGCTCCTACTTGGCCAGCAGACACTCATTACTTAAACAAATTTATTATTTAACACATGTTTGAGAAAGAGAATTATGAAGTAATTGTCTTTACTTATTTGGTAGTTGTGTGAACTAAGTGATTATGTAGGAATGGGGATAGATATCCATCAAGCTGAGCACATGAGCTGTCTTTGCATTATTCAGCTCTATTTCCTGCTTGAGAGTGGGGTAGAAGGTCTATAATAACTATTACTGTAACTGCCTTGGTGGCTGTTAAGTGGTTAACACAGAAATGCCCAAGAACTAATTGGCAAAATAAGTCCTTCTACCATTGCTAGAAATGGTAGGATTTTGCACACCTCACACATGAACGCTACCAGCTGGCCTGTGAGACTGTTAAACAGCAGGAGCATCATTCACGGTAAAAATATAAAGGCCCATAAGATACATGGTAGAACACATGTCCTGTGTGCTGAGTGCCTGCCGTGTGCAGTCCCAGTACCCACACTTCCGTCCTGCCATATTCATCGCCTCCCATCCTTTAAGGTTAATAATGACGAGGAGGACAAGGAAGAGGAAGCTCCTCTTCACATCAGAAATCCTGAAATATTTCTAACAGCTGCCTAATTTCCTGATGCTTAAATTGTGAAACTTTGAGTGTACCGTAGTTTCTAACATTTAAGTTCCCATTGAGGGGAGGCATCCAAGTGTAGAAAATGGCACGTTAATTGAGGGATTAACAGTGTGTAACTGGCCAGTGCCATTTCTCATCTTTGACTCAAGTTAGCTAAGAAGACTCTCTTGTAATTTAGGATAGCAAGCTTGAAGAATTAAATCAAACGCTGACAAGAGCAGAGCCTACCATAGCCTAATTCTTTATTCTTGGGTCTTTTCTTCATTTTGCTTTATATTTCATTTTTCCTTCTTACCAGATAAGCTGTCAAATTTGTTACTTGCCACAAAACTGTTTCTTGAAAGATGTGTTTACAAGTAAGATAGCGTTTTCTAGACACTGAACCTTCCCAAAGTTTTGCTGACTTCACTGTGCTTTATCAACCCTCGATATATTTCCAGCCCCATTTCTGCCTCCCTTCAGCAGTTCCCCTAGCAGGAATTGACCGGATGCAAGTTGGCGGATTATTCGAAGGGACTATATTGTATTATTATTATTATTGTACCTGTGGTGGTTGTTCATAATGCCGAGACCCCTGAATGATGTCCTGTAAAACTACATATATGATAAAATCACATGATCATTTGTTTTATTTTTAAGACAAGTTCTCACATGGCCCAGGCTAGCCTCAATTCACTAGGAAACTGAGGATAACCTTGAACTCCTAGTCCTCCTGCCTCGTGTGTGCCATCATGCCTGCTTCACACAATCTATTTGAGACAGTTTCCTAAAGGCCATATAGAAGGGGGGGGAGGGGTGTCTCCCCGTGTGTAGTCGAGACAATTTTTCAGTTTGTCTCATTTTCTTTTCTATAGTTCCTGCTTCAAACATAACAGCCCTTTCTGTCCACTCCTACCTCTGCAAGCATCTAAAACCTCTCTTGTCAGGCCTTCTGCCTCCCCGCCTCACTGATGGGATGCTCCTTCTGAACGCTGCTCTCCAGTTCCCTTTCTCTGCAGTGTAGACCATCTGGTGTGGAATTATACTGACTTTAAGGGCCCACTTGTGGGTGCTGGAGTCCACAGCACTGTTCACTCTGTTTCCTGAAGTCCTAATGGCTGCTTGCTGTTTGGTCCAATTTGGTCCAAGTGGGTACCCCACTCTTCCTGTAAGCGTTAACTCTCATGGGGCACAGGGTTTGGAGAAGCTGGTCTTTGGAGAGGGAGGACCACTTCTGCTTTCCACGGGAAAGCTGTGTCACCCAGAGCAGAACTCAAGCCCAGAGGAGGAGGTGTAAAGGAAGTGATACTGTTCCCCTGGCCCCCACCCAGGCCCTGCACCCTCAGGTCATTTGCTTGTGGGAGTCCTTCCTTCCCACACTCACAATTGCTTTTCCCCCAGGGTTCTTTCTGCCACTTATGCTTAATTCATGCATGGATTGGAGGGAGGGAGAAAGGGAGGGAAGAGGGGAAGAGAAGGAGGGTGGCACATAGATAAAGAGGAAGGGTGAGGCTTTAACCATTTGTGCAGATCCGTCCCAGGCAAAGACCACCTTGTTTGATTTTTTTCCCCCCAAAACAGAAAGATGCATATTTTGAAATTCCTCTGCATGGAAACTCTAAGTAGGTATTTTTGCCATCTTTAAACATTCGACAATATGATAATATTTTAATCTTAACTATAGTAGCATAGGGCTTCTTTATTGAATTTTTGCAAATTTCATAAGTCTATTTTATTGATTCCTTCCCCATCTTCACTACCACTTACTACCTTCTCTTAATTTCAAGGACTCTAGTGTGTGTGTGTGTGTGTGTGTGTGTGTGTCACACACACACACACACACACACGTTTATAGAGTCAGGTTTGTTTCCCCAAATGCCCTTCAGTATGGCCTCATCCACTGGAGCCTGGTTAGGTTGACC